GTAGAGATGTATAGGAATTCAAACAAGAGAGATAATGTTGATCTCTTTTTAAGTCATGTATCATAATTTGTGTAAATGGGTGTGCTTGGATATAAATGTAGTGTAATTATATAGTGAAAAGATTTCAACAATTTACAGAAAAGATGACAAGCTGATTCTACAATGATCTGTTTATCAACTTTTGAAAGATTCCACATAGTATTCTAGAGTGAAATAAGGTATGATAATCAAAGACAGGCAGTCACCGAGAAGGCAGTAAAAAAGGTTTAGGAAGGTTGGAAAGTTTACCTGAAGACCCAATAAAAAGCAGACATAAAGAAATATAGAATACAGGAAAACATTTGAAAATACCAAGAGAGAATTAATGTTGTCAAGATGAAGGAAAACAGATGATTAGATGTAGAATGCTAAAGACATGTAGCACAATTTCTCTGAAACTATTGATCATACTTCTTTGTGAATTTATCCACAGTCTCACAATTTTGTAGTATTGCTCCAGACACAGCATTAAAGACAACCACGTCAAGTTTCTCATTTAATAGGCGAGTCCAACAACATCAGTTAATAGGTCTCTATTTTCTGTAGTTTCATTCTTCATTGGATGTTCCTGCACATTTATATTTCAAGTCACACAAGTGTGAATTTTACTCAGTCTACTTAAATAATATTGTTTACCTTAATAAGTTTTGTAAGTTTGTAATTGCAAAATTCAATAGGTATACTTCTGTTTTTATCTTATTAAACTTCTGAAAGCAGCTACTAAACTGAGTCAAAAATCCACACTGGACATCTAGAGATTACCCTGGATTCCTCTTGTTTCTATGTCACAGCTGTGATATGGTGACTACTTCAAATATTACCTATTTATTTAGCTTCCTTTCCATTTTCTTGTCCCTAGCAGAGTTTCGCATTCCTCACTTCAATCCCTCACTCCATCCGTCAATGCTCTGGCTCTTCAGGATATTGATATTAGCTCCTTAAAGGCAGGTCATACTTGTTCATAGAAGAAGACATAATCTTCCGTGTCCTGACTCCAGGAGTCTCCAAACCTAGTCTCTAATCTATTTTTATCAAACCCGCAAAATAGTGTATTATAGTAATCGTTATTGGATTATTTTCACATCCAACATGGTTTTTTTTTTTTGCTTTTCTAAATAGCCATCTGTCTGCAACATGTTTCTTCTCTTCTTATTCTAATAAATAACTTTTTTAATAATTACATTTGTCACAAATACCCAGGAACTCTCCTCTTTCAGGTACATTAGGTGACAGTTCTCATTATGAAATACTCTGTCAACATCCATTAAAACTGCTTAAGCATCTATCTAACCTCCAAGTAATAAGGGATTTAGTAAAAACAACTATTTTAACTTAAATTAAACACTAAGTGCCTTGTCAGAACTGATGCTGTCTTAGGTCTATTACAATTCCTAGCATGAAACATAACCAGTATTTTGTATATAACTATTGAAAAAAGATTATGAATGCAACATGGAATAATTTTAAAACCACTATAAAAATTAGAAGTTAAATTCTAATATTTTGGTGTCTGGCAGAGTGGCTCAACTAGTAGAGTGCCTGACTAGCAAGCATAAGGCCCTGAGTTCAAAACCTAGTACCACCAAAAAAAATTCTAATATTTTGATACAGTAATAGAGATTCATTATAAATAATCATCATCAGGGGAATATGGAAATGCAATATTTCTAAAACACTGATTTTAAAATGATTTTAGGTCACACTTTGTTTCATTCACCTGATTAAGAAACAAATAAACCATGGGAATTACTTTTTTATGCAATTATATCATAAACAACTTTAAAATATCAGCTCTTAGAAATATGATTTATATGGTATTCATACTATGGGCAGATCAGTGGACAATCTGCTTCTCATGTATAGAACCCAGGATAAAGGATTTCCTATTTGTGCAATGCAGTTTTATGGGAGATATAAAGAACAAGAGATGACGAAGAAACACCTCCTGTTTCAGGAAGATTGATCACAGCAATGATGCAGGCTACACTTGTTCATGTGCCATTGGTGGGAGGAAGGCACATGATCAGCTATGTGGACAGCATAATCCTCCACTGGAAGCACAGTACTTCACATGGCAATGAGCAGTGATGTATAAGCACTTCACCAAGGGAAGGTGATAATTATTGGTGAAAAACAATCACAGTTAATGTGAAATTAAGAACATGATAAAGGGTGTTAGGATAGAAAGATGGATAAACAGTGCTTCTGGCACTACAGAGAAATCTAGTAAAGATACCATCAACTAATTGTTGAAATAAAAGAGTACAAAATCATGCAATGAAATATGAGCTAAAATTTTTGCAATAAGCAAACAATAAAATAAAGAGCAGATATTAAAGGCTATGAATTCATTGGATGAAATACGAGGTAAAATTTTGCAATGAGCAAATATAATGAGCAATAGAATAAAGAACAGGTATTTTAACCAAACCAACATTTAACAAAGAAGCAGTGCAAAAATGGTGTTTTTATTTTATTAAATTTTGTAATCTTAAAATTTTCCTTGAAAAATCTTCATGAGATATTATAAGACAGGCATATTAAGGGAAATCTTTCAGAGAAGCTTGAGACTTAAAAGAAGAGAATAAGTAAGGCAGGAGTTAATAAAATTGGAATAGAATGATTTTCCTGGCTGAAATCAAAGCAAATTGTGAGAAAAGCACAGCTTTCTAATGGCATCAGCTTTCTGCGTCATTCAGAAAAGGATGCAATCTAAGGTCAATTTTGTGGACACAGTTATTTTGAAGAAAAAGGGGTTCCAGGAATTATAAAGTATGAAAGTTTGTAGAAAATGTGACTAAATAGCAATGTTTAGGCAAAGAAGGTCACATTTGAGTCTGAACACATTAGGATGGTTTCTTCTGGGGGAATCAGCCTGACACAGGCATGACATTTCATTACCTTCATGGCTGTTTTGAGTGGCATAGGATAAGAAGTTCCCGTACTTATCTTCTTATGGACTGTGTAATAAGTATCTATAAAATGCAGAACTAAATTCTTCAGTTTGAATGCTACTATGAGAGACTTGAAGATTCCGAATTTGAGTGCACACGGATGGCAAAATGTCCATTCCATCAAAATAAATGAAGTCATAAATACACAAGCACTGAGACATGACACTAGGAAACAGAGCATGAAATAAATACTATAAACAAGTATTAAGGCAGAAATTATGTCAGAATGGATAATAAAGCACTAACATGTGGTACATACATTTCCTATATAATAACATTTTTTAGTTAGTTAATGTTTTAGGTATAAAATATATAGATTTTATATGCATATGTGTATACAATAACATAAGAATACTGAATCAGTAAATATCTATATACGTTTACCTATAAATTCGCTTTTTCAAAAGAGCTTTATATGTATTAATATATATTATAATCCCCTTGCTCATAGAAGAATACTGAACATAAATACTTGTTCATTATTGTACATGGACAGTACGCCACATGTATTTCCACAAATCCTTTAGAAAACAAGGCATGGTGAACAGTTTGTCAATAATTAATAAACTAAATAGCCAATGTTTGTTACCTTCTTCATGTATAATGAACAGATATAAAAGATGTATATAGATATAGGTAAAGACATAACATACAGATATTAGTAGACACATTCATATTTAAGCCATCCTTTGTGCACTGAAATCGTTCCCCTGCATCGAATGTCAAATCCTCCACTGACTCTTAATATCTGGCACTCTTAATACCTCCAGACTATGCATTGCTAAAAAGAAAGCTGGATCTTATCTGAAGCACTGTCTTCCATGTGGCTGAGTATAGATTGCCCATGGCAGAAGAATTAGAGAACAGGCTAATTACAGAAGACTTCCTATGCCAGGAAAAATGTTTTTAATTTTGTCTTGAAGGAAATGTGAAGCACTGAAGAATTACCTGGGTTGGATTCTTTGATGAAGAGAAAGGTAGAACTGTGAGATTAAGAGCAGAGAAAAGCAATCCATGTAGAAAATAATTCAGAATCACATTGCTCTTGTAAAAAATATGATTGTGCAGAAAATAGAATATGTTTGAGAGATGTTAAAGAAATATAATGGGACTCTCTTCATAACAGCTTAGAAAGCCAAAATAAACGTGCAGAACAACTTTATCTATTTTGCATGCTGTTTTGTTAAAACATCAGGGAATATAAAGGAGAGGAAAGTTTGGAGGAAGAGATATCATCATAAAAATAATAAATATACATCATCATGACCTCATGAATTTAGTTATTAGTTTACATTAATACTTTACAAGTATTAATGAATTCAATTATCAAGTTCAGACAATGGAATCAATGTCAAATAAATTAAAGCAATAAAAATTGATATAATTAAATTATCAAACCAGTATGATACTGTTTTGCATTTGGCACTAAACTGCAAACCCGACTATGTTTATTTATTTTTATTTTGGTGGTACTGGGCTTGACTCAGGGCTTTGCATTTGTAAAGCAGGCAAGTGCTCTACTGTTTGTACTCTGGTTATTTTGGAGATGAAGTCTTGCTTTTTTTCCATGCAGTCCTGGATTGTGATCCTCCTGTTTATGCTTGCTGCAATAGCTGGGATGTCCATTATACCACCAAATCCAGCTTTTTTTTCATTGAGATGGTGTCTCAGTAGCATTTTTGCCTAAGCTGACCTCGAACCTTCACTGTCCTAATCTCAGCCTTCCATGTAGTTAAGATTACAGGCATAAAGCAAGTGTCCAGCAACAAAAAGCAATTTACAGGCTCTTTGCAAAGTGTTTGTAGAATGAGCACATTAAATATATCTAAGAACTTGATCTTGAGGCTGTCATACCATGTAACAGATACCATCAGAAAAGTGGGGATATTTCATCTAGGCAGAGAAGATATTTACTAGGGAAGGTTTGAATGTTGAGTTTGCAGTTGCAATTTTAATAAGCACATGGCTAAAATGAAAAACATTAGTCCAAAATCATTTAGTGCTTACCATTGACAATAACGATGATATCACGGAAGTCAATCTCTCCCCTTGCTTCCACTCTTCCTTCACATCTGTATATTCCTTCATCACTTTTATTGATGTTGAGAATCTGCAGATTATTGTTTGCTAATACAGTGAACCGATCTGGAAAGTAAATAAAGGGGAGGAAAAGATAAAAATTGAAGGTTCAGTCCACTGTGCTCTAAATTTCTAAGAATAAAAATATGGCATTTTTCTGACACTATCAAACTTCTCATCAACAAATAAATTCAAATTTGAAAGTAAAATGTAATTTCACTTTTTCCACTGTACGCTGACTTGTTGAACGTTTTTTTTCCTAAAATATATTCAAGACTTTATATCCACATTAAGTGGTTAGGCTATTATTTTTCCCTTGGCGGTTTGGATACAGAAATCATAATAATAATAAAAAAAGAACAATGTAAGGGATTAGATGTTGCTGACCTGAAAACTTTTGACTGCAAGTATGTAGAAACTAGGTTGTGGAAAACAAAAAATGTTATTGAATATCCTTCCCCAACAATAATTAAAGTAATAACTTTTCATACTCTGAGGAGGCAGCTAAATGTTACAATAATGCTGAAGTCACATAGAGAATATAAAATGTTTATGTCTTGAATAAATTTAGGAGTTTTGGCTGAACATAAAATAGTCATACGTAGTCATAAAATAGATTTGATTATTAATTTTATTTCAAGATTGTATTTTGTGTGTCTGTACATACACATGAATACAAAAATAAACTGGTTTAAGACATGTATCAACTGACAAAGTAAAATAATATTCTGTATTAGTATGAGAAGTTCAAGCAGCAAATCTGCTTAACATTATTTTCAAGTATGGACTTACTTATTATTATTGTAGATTTTTTGAAGTGCTAAAACTTTTTTGCAACTGAAAACAATTTAAATTTTATTTTTACTGTTTCTCTTATTTTTTATTATTATCATATTTTACAGGAGGTACATTTTCATATTTACACAAGTGCTTACTATGTATCTTTTTTTCTTTTTCTTGGGCTGTGGGTATATTCTTGCATTATATCAAATATATTCTACTTGAATTTCTAAAGAATACTCTCTCATATAGTCCTATTCTGAAAACTTTTGTAAGGGCACTATATTAAATTTTCTTTAGTCATGTATTCATAAATATCACTGACATAATTTTTTGACTGCATATGATATTAAAGATACATTGTTTAATAAGAGTGGCTCAGTGTATACTCTGAGCCTCTTGTTTAAGCAGAATTTTCACTATTTTAGTTTGTCAAATCTTAAAGATATGTATACTATGGAGGATAATCTTTTAACCTGTTCCAGTTTCTACTGCTCTTCCTCTATTTGCTGGCTTGATACAGATGTTAAAGAAATAATGAAAGTCATTCATGAAATAAGGTAGAGCTTCCAACACCTGAATTGCTAATTTAGTTCACAGGGTAGGATCCTGCTTCTATTCCTGCTGACAAAAGGACTTTGCATGAATGAGAAATAAAGTAACATAATACGTCATTCGGATTTTGGAGTTTCCTTACCATAGAAATGTTTTAATGATAGGAGATACACTTGGGCCAGAAATAAAAATTAGATGATTCATCAGGAAATAGAAAATCATGGAAAGAGGTAAGCTCATAGTCATTTGTTGTCTAACAGATAACAAAAGAGGAATGTAAATGTATAGATTAAGAAGCTACCTTGGAAAAGAAATCTTGATTATAAAGTTACAGCCATATGCTTTTTCCCCTGGATGTGGAAACTTTTCTATAATGTTTATTTCTTCCTTTCATTTACCCAAAAAAGGAGACAGAAATGTAAAACACACCCTATCTCCTGGTAAATCAAAATTCAAAGATGTAATTTGCTCACCAAGGGAAAGACTGGGAGAAAGACACTCAATCTGTAAAAATCTGTAAACTGTAAGTCACAAGAAGTTCCAGAATGAACATGAGGACAATAAACAATCTCAAATTGCCTCACTGAAGGAGGAGCTGACTAAGCAGCTGCCACTGAAAGACAGGAAAAAAACTGGTGGTCCTTCCCAGCCCATCAAAATCAGCATATCCCTCAACAGAAACCTTAAAGGCAAGAAGAGCATGGAGTGAGATATTCCAGGCACTAAATGAAAATAACTTCAACCTTAGGACACTCTACCCAGCAAAACTGTCATTCAAAAATGGTTCAATAAAAGTCTTCCATGATAAGCAGAAACTAAAACAATATCTGACTACCAAACTACCACTACAAAAGATTCTTCAAGGAGTTCAACACAGAGTAAATGAAAGCAAACAAAACTATGAAAACACAGGCAGTACCAAACCAAAGGAGAAGAAAAGAAAAATCAGAGAGTAACATGGATTCAGCTGCACACAATCAAACCCTTAAACAACAAAAACAACTAAATGACAGGAATAACCACATACCTATCAATATTAACACTGAATGCTAACAGACTTAATTGCCCCATCAAAGCACACCTTTTGGCAAACTGGATTAAAAAGGAAGATCCAACCACCTATTATTACAGGAGACCCAGCTCTTTGACAGAAACAAGCACTGGCTTAGGGTGAAAGGCTGGAAGCAGATTTAACAAGCCAATGGCCCCCCAAAAAAGGCAAGAGCAGCAATACTTATCTCAGACAAAGTAGACTTCAAACTTACATTCATCAAATGAGACAAAGAAAGACACTCCACACTAACAAAAGGTGAAATACACCAAAAGGAAAATAACAATTATCAATCTACATACACCCAAAGTCAGTGTAGCCAATTTCACAAAAAATACTGTGAAGGACCTAAAAACATATATAGAATCCAACACAGTGGTACTGGGAGACTTTAATACGCCCCTAACACCATTAGATAGGTCATCCAATCAAAAAATCAGTAAAGAAATTTTACAGCCAAATCATAGCAGAGATCAAATGGACCTTGCTAATGTCTACAGAATATTTCATCCAATTTCTGAACAATATACATTCTTCTCAGCATCCCATGAAACTGTCTCCAAAATTGAACATATTTTAGGGCACAATCCAAGCCTCAACAAATACAAGAAAAGAGAAATAATCCCATGCATTCTATCTGATCACAAAGCATTAAAACAACAGTAGAAAACATGCAAAACAATTGGAAGAAGAACAACAGATTGCTCAGTAATCAATGGGTTATTGATGAAATAAAAGAGGAAATTAAAAGATTCCTGGAAGTTAATGAAAATGAAAACATGACCTACCAGAACCTATGGGACACAGCAAAAGCAGTCCTAAGATGAAAGTTTATAGCCATGAGTGCATATATTAAAAGGACAGAAAGAGCTCAAATCAATGACCAAATGCTACATCTCAAACTCCTAGAAAAATAAGAAGAAACAAATCCCAAAACAAGCAGAAGGAGAGAAATAATAAAAATAAGGATTAAAATTAATGAAATAGAAACAAAAAAAACCACACAAAGAATCAATGAAACAAAAAGCAGTTCTTTGAAGAAATAAACAAGATTGAGAGACCCCTGGCAAACCTGACTGAAATGAGGAGAGGAAAAACCAAAATCAGTAAAACGAGAAATGCAAAAGGAGAGATAATAACAAACACCACTGAAATCCAGGAAATCATCACAGGCTACTTTGAGAAACTGTATTCCAATAAATTTGAAAATCTTGAAAAAATGAAAATATCCCTAGATACTTAGGACCATCCAAAATTAAACCAAAAGGATATTAGTCATCTGAATAGATCTATAACACAAAATGAAATTGAGGCAGCAATAAAAGTCTCCTAAAAAAGAAAAGTCCAGGACCTGATGGATTCTCTGCTGAATTTTATCAGACCTTTAAAGAAGAACTAATAACAATTCTCCCTATACTGCTCCATGAAATAGAAAAGGAAGGAACACTGTCTAATTCAGTTTATGAAGACAGTATTACACTCATCCCCAAACCAGACAAAAACATCTCCAAAAAGGAGAACTATTGGCCAATCTCCTAACTGACCATCGAAGCAAAAATCCTCAATAAAATAGGGGCAAACTGATTCCAACAACACATCAGAGAGATCATTCACCATTACCAAGTTGGCTTAATCCCAGGGATGCAGGGGTGGCTCAACATATGCAAACCTATAAATATAATTCAGCACATTAGTAAAAGCAAAGACAAAAACCACTTCATCATCTCAATAAATGCAGAAATAGCCTTTGGTAAGACCCAACACCAACTTATGATAATAGCTCTAAGAAAACTAGGAATAGAAGCAATATACTTCAACATTGTAAAAGCTATATATGAAAAAGCTATAGTCAACATAATATTTAATGGAAAAAAACTGCAAACATTTCCCATAAAATTAGGAATGAGACAAGGTTGCCCACTATCTCCACTCCTATTCAACATAGTACTGGAATTCCTAGCCAGAGCAATTAGGCAAGAAGAAGAAATAAAAGGAATACAAATAGATAAAGAAGCTGTCAAATATCTCTATTTGCAGATGATATGATCTTATATCTTAAAGACCAAAAAAACTCTACCCAAAAACTCTTAGACACCATAAACAGCTACAGCAGGATATAAAATCATCTTATAAAAATCATTATCTTTTCTACATACCAATAATGAACAAATTGAGTAATAATATATGGAAACAATTCTATTTATAATAGCCTCAAAAAGGTCAAATACCTAGGTGTAAACCTAACAAAGGATGTGAATGACCTTTGCAAGGAGAACTACAAACGCCTGGAGAAAGAGATCGAGGAAGACCACAGAAGATGGAAAGATCTCCCATGCTCATAGATTGGTAGAATCAACATAGTAAAAATGGCTATATTACCAAAAGCAATCTACATGTTTAATGTAATTCCTATCAAAATCCCAATAGCATTCATCACAGAGATTGAAAAATCTACCCTAAAGTTCATTTGGAAACACAAGGGACCAATGATGGAGGTATCACAATACCTGACTTCAAACTATATTACAAAGCAATAGCAATAAAAACAGCATGGTACAGGCAAAAAAACAAAGATGAAGACCAGTGGAACAGAATAAAGGACATGGATATAAATCCACACAGCTGTGCACACCTTACTTTTGACAAAGGCACCAGAAACATACAATTGAGAAAAGACAGC